AAGACCAGCTTCAAAACATCCTGGAGGATTTTATTCAGATTCAAAAACATCTTTCCTTCATTTTCAAAGCATATTCATCTCAATTAGTTTTGTCATTTCAAAATAAGGTTAAAACTAACAATCCCTTTTTTATATATAACAAAATAAAGAGCTAAATTTTCTCATTGATGAACACCCTTTCAAATTGTGCTAATGATTTCAAAGGATTTCAAAACCAAGGTAAAAGAATTAAAAATATTTTTCTCAAGTAGAACACCCCCTGAATCTATGCTATTTTTCAAAAAGATTTACACTAGATTATGAAAGCACTTTTGAAATCATTTTTCAAGAAAATTCCAACCATGAGATTTAGAGAAGTTAAGCTTAGGCTTTTAGCAAGTTTACTCCCAATATTCTCTCCTTTTTTGTTATACCAAAAAGAAAGAGAAAATAGAGTATAAGCAATAAATAACTCACAGATATAGCACAACATTAGTGGTAAGAGTTTAAGTACAGATTAAATACAAGGAACCTTTGAAAAATAGAATTAAATTTAACATACATAGTTTATCAATACACCAATAAATATATTACAAAGAAATGAATATTAAAGCATGTTCATCAATCCTAGTTTAGTTCTAATCTTACACAAGTGTTTTGTATTGAAAAGATTAGTAAAAATATTTTCTAATTTATCTTGTGTTCCTATATTATTCTAAAATTACGCCTTCTTTTTGTACATGATCCCTAATAAAATGATGTCTTATTTCTATATGTTTTGTCCAAGAGTTATGTATAGGATTTCTAGTCAAATTTATGGCACTAGTGTTATCATATTTAATAGGAATCTTTTTAAAAGTTATTCCATGGTCTTCTAATTGTTGTTTCATCCAAAAAATCTGTGCACAATAACTACCAGCAACTATATACTCAGCTTCGATTGTTGTTTATGCTACGCTGTTCTATTTCTTAGAAAACCATGACACTAACATTTTTCCTACTTACTCAACTTCTAATGTGAGTTTGACCATGATTTGATCAAAACTAAGTGAAACATTAAACATTAAAGTTGTAACCTTTCCTTTTAACTTTCCAGTGGTCTAAAAATCTCATCAATCAGACTTCTGTAGCTTGAGTTACACTCAAATTATTGTAACATAGTCAGAAATCTCTTTAAGCATCTTTGCGTAGTTCTTTGCAATTTAAACCCCACATGCTTTCACACCTTCAATAACAAATGACTAAACTAGTGAGGTTAAAAATAGGACTTTTATATTGAAATTAAGCTAAAAGAGCTAAATTAAAAATACTTAAACATGCAGTAAGCTAATTAATAAAAAGATGTAAAACTACTTAAAATGACTAGAAAAATAAGAGGACTTCATTCCTTTTTTGCTCAACAAAGTGCAAGATAACTCTATAAAATAGAGTTATCACACTCTCAAACTAAACATTTTGCCAGTCCTTAAGCAAAACTATAAAACAAAGAAAGAAACATGAACATAAAAAACATTGAACTATAAATCGGTTGCATCAATCCTAATAGCACTTTTAATTCATCGTAAGTCATTTTATTTCCTCAACATCTTACGCAAAGTATAAATATTATTCATGTTCAAATTTCACTAAATTGGAAGCTCAATTTCAAATGGAATCTCAAGTGTATGTGTGTAGTTTTATGAAATGAAAATCATGCTATTTGGTAAGTTTATGCTTATGTAAAAAATTTGAATTTGTCAAGAGTTTCATATGTTTGTTCTTTATCTCTCTCTCTACTAATGTAGGCTAACACTTACTCAAGGATCCTTAGGACTCTATCAAGCTTGTAACATATGACTAGGGTCAAGGTAGGACTTAGGAAAATATGTTTCTCAAATCACCCTAAGCACAAAATCATTCTAGAACCTATAATGAGATTTCTTATTCCTCCTAATCACCCTTTTCTTTCTTCAACCTTCTCATTCATCAAACACTTTATTCCTTTTGATTTTCATTTTTTTCAATTCACAATTTAATACCCCCAAACTTATTTCCTTTTATGTTAGGTATGGGGTGAATCCTACATTACTTTTTGTATTTTTCTCCACTTCCACATTTTCTACTTTTGACTTCATTTCTAACTCACTACACTCCTTAAAATGATTTATGTACTTAGGAGTGATGGGTGTTAAAGTGGAAATTTATTTTATGGTTAAGGCTATTTACTATGTGTTTAATCAAAGAAAAGTAGACAATTTAAGCTCAAAAAGGATAGCTAAGGATAAAAGTATAACGTGGTGGCTTGAAAGGCTCAATTGGTCCAAAAATGGCTTAAGTCATTTCCCTAAGTAAATATAGCCTAGGATTTCACCTCAAGAGAAATTAAAACAAATTCTAGAATTCAAGACTTTATTCAAAAATTTGTATTTACATAAACATTGTCAAAATGAACACAATTATTTAAAGTAAGAAACAAGTGCTCAATATGGTTGAAATTCACATTCTACAATGATGCTCAACAACAAAGTCCAACATAATACTCAAACAATATTTACATTTACTCGAAGAACAAGATAACAAGACAACTATTTTTCTTCATTGGATAAGTAAATCAAAGCAATTGGTGGAATGTGATTAGTTCAAATTAAATCTAGGTGAAAATCATATTGAAAATGGTTAGGTAGCTGTAGTACTACACAAGGTAGCACATGGAATGAATGCCATAGCCTTGAGTTGCTCAAGGCTGAGGCGCTGAAGAGACCAAGGTTGCAATGCTTAGGAGAGTATGGTTGTGGCACTGGTTGAAGGTGCATCCCCATAATGCCACTCGAGAAGACACGACCAAGAAAGGTCATAGTGCTGGAGCGCCGCAGCACCACAAGGCTGATGAGCATTATGCTATACCCATGAGCACAGTGCTGCAGCGCCAAAGAGGGCAAGGTTGCAACGCTAGGGAATTTTCCAGAAATAAAAAGTTTGACAAGATTTTAGAAATTAGGTTACTTGGAGCCTATTTAAGGAGCCTTTTTTAGAGGTTTGAAAAAGAAGACGACAAGTAACTATTATGGAGAAAAGGAGCTAAAACCAAAGCAATAAAGCAAAGTTAATTGAGAGAGAATCAAGATCAAAAGCTTTAACTATTAGTTTCTTTCTCTACTTTGTGTTTCTCCTATTTTCTTTGACTTCGATTAATGGTTAATTTCCATTGGATAAAGTTTTATTTAGATATTATGAACTAATTTACTTTTCTAGGATTGTGATGGATTTCAACATGTAATCTAAATATTTGTTTCTCTTTTATTTCCTATAGATGGGTATAGTTTTCTTATTCAAATAGGTTTCTTAATACTTTTGATTATCTAGCCAATAATTAACTGATTTGTGAATCTAATTGAGACTCGATAAAGAGATTTTAGATTCAACTAAAGTTTGAATAGTATATGTTCACATCATTTAGGTGATCTAATTCACGATTAGTGTAAACATATGCCAATTGCCATACATAGCCAAATTAAAACACAAGATTAATGACCTATATTTAATTGATTACTATGGACATATAGTGACCCAATTAAGTTTAATATTTATGCAAGTAT